CTCCTCCTCCTCCTCCTCCTCCTCCTCCTCCTCCTCCTCCTCCGTGGGGGAGGTCGAGGGTCTCAGGACTCAGGTGAGAATGTTAAAAGCTGTTGTTGCTGCGGCCGGTAACTATCTGAAGTGACGGCCGATCACTCTGGACCCAGCCCTTTCCCGCCCTCCCCGGTTGCCCATGGCGCCCTCGGGCTCGAGCCCGCGCGCGCGCCAGGATAGAGCAGGAGTGGGTGAGAGGAAGGGAGATGAAGCAGGATGGAAGGATTGAAGCAAATGGAGGGGCGGAGAGAATACTACGCATTGCAAGAGGCAGGCAGGGAGGGTGCGCGACGCGTGTCCGCGGAGCAGTCCTGTGCCAGGATCAGTGTCAAGGGTGCGCACGACGCCGGGACGGGTGCAGGCCAAAAGGGGGGGGGAGGGCCGGGGGGCGGGGGGAGGAGGCTGTGGCCTCCTGGGCCACCTTGGCTTACTAGAGGGCAGAAGATCCACCCCGACAACAACATCCACCCCGACACGCGAGGCCGCTTGGTGAAAGCCCAGGGCCGTCTGGCAAACGCCGATTGTCCGGTCCGGGCGGTTCTTCCTCCCTTGACGTAAGGTTCAAGGACCTGTTGGCCTCCCGCGCGCAGGCCGCCACGGGGGGGGCGCGCCCGGGGCACGCGCGGTGGGCGGCACGGCGGGCGCCAGCAGCCAGGAAGGGTTCGAGAGGAGCTGGCTGCCAGAGGAACCGTGCGGGCCCAGCTGGTAAGGAAACGAAGAATGACATGAACATAAAAAGCTCGGAGGTCCGCGCGGATTGCTTGAATCTGCGCTGGACCCCCCTCCCTGGCGCGCGGAGCGCGCCACGGGGCGGCTCCGGAGGCGCCGCCAGGGGGCCCCAGCGCCGATCCGAGCAATCCGCGCGGACCTCCGAGCTGATATGTTTGTGTCACTGTTCGTTTCCTTACCAGCAGGGCCTGGGTAGCTGCGAGCTGCAGCACGCAGGACTGGCTACAAGATGGACGTATTCCTCACGGGGGTCGCTATGCCGAGCGTGCGTTCGGACCAGGAGCAGGAATGCGTGCCGAAGTACAGCACCAAGCAGGACAGCAAGCACGACGCCAAGTAGAACATCGGTTACGACAATTACGACAACAAGTACGAGGAGGGAAGAAGAGGTGCCACACGAAGCACGAACGGAAGAGGAAGGATGACGTGATACACGCACGAATGGCGCACGAGAGCACCATACGCCGAGAGATCAGCAGATACAGTACATCGTCGTCGAGGTCCCACTGCAACAATACTACGGTAAGAAGCGAACCTTCGAGGCACACCAGCGGACATACGGAAACCATCAGCAGAGCTTCGAGAACCACTAACAGAGCTTACATGGCTACCAACGGCACTTCGAGGATACCCAGCAAGACTCCGATCGTTCAACCCATACCCGACACAACTATGCCGGGGTAATTAAACACATTGGACAAATTATCAGAACAGGAATGGGCACAGTGAGGAAGTGGAGGAAGGATGGCAGAAGGATGCAGCGGAAAATGGACGCGATCCCGAGAGACCCCGCAACGCGATCAGCATGAACTTGAAAGGGTCTGAAGACGACGAGGAAGATGCGGAAAGAAAAAAGGGAAACACGAAGAGGTGACTAAGGGTGGGACAAGCCGGGTCAAGCACAAAGACACGACAAAGCTAGCTCGCTCAGTGTCCTGCGAAATCGCAGTTTGAAATAGGACCGCCTCCATGTAACAATTGTACACGTTTGAACGTTCTGCCACACATTATCCAGAGAGGTTCCCTCAACTCACTGGCCTTGAAATTCAAGGGGGCCGCAGAAGAGAGCCTGATGTGAAGAAGGAACAATCCTCCATCCTTGCAGCCCTTGCTGGCTTTTGTGGCACATCTGCGCGGCACTCAAGCGTTCCTCCGTTTTGACAAGCCCTTCCTCCGTTTGAACTGATGCAAGCTTGTGGGTCAAATATGCGCAGGGCTAGAGCGAGAGCCCCATTCAGAAACAATAGTATAGTTAATGATGCAAGACGCATGTGCGCGGCGATAATGCAAGAGCCCCAGCTTGAAAAATACACCATCTACCGTGTAGCGGCTGGAACCGTTTAAGACGAACGCGCGCGGCGTTCAAACGATGTGGCCTTACGGCCATGTCTGGCGGTC